GTTAACGGTGTCAAAAAACCCTATCGATCTCTCCATTTTTCTTCCTTTTTTTTTTCAACCACCATCTTCTTTTTTTCTGTCCCTTTACTAAAACTGATTTTCTTTTTAGTACTCTTATTTCTGCTCTCATTCACATCAATGAAAACCCACCGTCCCTATGGATTGGACGGAGACAATGTCTTGATTCTGGAAAGAATAGATACTGATGTGGTTATTGAGAAAATCATCGATGCTTTTTGTGTGTTTGATTTAGTTCATGTGACACCAATTTTTAATGTTGTAGGGTGCAGAAGAAGAATCAGTACCGTTTCTCGCGAAAGTTTTTGCGATCGAATCTCATACATTTGGCATGGAGGTATGAAGATCATGTGGAGGATTAGTACATTCCGAAAATTGCCGTAGATGAATATATAAACATTTACCTTGAGAGGATTCTGAACAAGTTCGACAGCGTTGAACTCCAAGGGTTGCCGAGATACATCCTGGTGAAAAAAAGGAAATTGTATTTTTTTTTAAATAAAAATGTTAAGAAAAAATGATATATTTTTTAATATACTAAATGAATTTAATTTTTGTAAAGTTGATAAATTTAAATAAAACGATTAGAAATATGGATAATTTGTTTTTAATAATGTATGCAACAATCTTGTAAATATAACTGAAAATAAATACTATGTGTTGTCTTTCCAATAGATGCATGTAAAGGTAATGATGCCCAAAACAAAAAGAAGACTTTTTACATCAGCTTCTTATCAGATTTTACGTCATACTTTTGTTTTGCTTCTCACGTTTATCTCTCTCTCTCTTAGACTATCATTACTAGTTTTTACTATTTTAGGGCATCTCCAGACTCCAATGTCCTAAAGTAGTAAAAAATAGTAATGATAGCCTAGAGAGACTGAATGAGATAAACGTGAGAACTAAAGTAGAAATATGACGTGAAATCTAATAAGAATGTGACGTGAAAAGTCTTCCTTTTGTTTTGGGCATCATTACCTTTACATGCATCTATTCGAAAGACTACACATAATATTTATTTTTAGTTCTATTTACAAGATTGTTGCATACATTATTAGAAAAAAAATCATCTATATTTCTAATCGTTTTATTTAAATTTATCAACTTTACAAAAATTAAATTCATTTAGTATATTAAAAAATTTATCATTTTCTCTTAACATTTTATTTTCAAAAAAATTATAAAGTGATGAATCATTTACCAATCACATTATTATGGTAAATGCGGTACGTATTTACGAAGAACGCACTAACACAGTAAAATAATTAAAACATAATAAAATATGTAGCTTTTTGTCTTGCTTTTTGATCCACAATTGGTAAATGTTTTAGTTCCATCCCACTTTGTGTCAAAAACCGTCCCCCACCCTTGCTCCTATTCAAGGCAACGTGTATTCAAATAAAAAAAATTATGAGTAAGAC